CACAAAACTCTCAACTTGTATCAAATGAGAATGCAGTAATAAAGTTTCATAGATCAATTTATTTGGAATTACAAATATTAATAAAAGACTTTGCATTTCTTAACAGTTTAGCTAAATATAAACTCTGCACTAAAGTTTTGCGGTGGCACAAGACTAACAAAGAACACAGAAGCATTTTAAACTATACAAAAACCTCAACTGGAAAATAATCTTATTATACATTAACATATAAAAAGCCTCATCTTATGAGGCCTCTGAAAGAATCAGAACCACCCATTCAGCTATATCTTAAACTCCAAATCTGAAGACAATTTATTATATTTTGGCTTTATAATATTCTATATTAAAATGAAGAGAATTCAAAATATATATTTTTTACAAGATTAACATTTTAGGCAAGCTTTTTTTTAAAACAAAGAAACCAAAATAACCAAAATCAAACCTTTCTGTATTTTACAACACCGATTATCTTTGTTTTCCTTATGAAATATTTTTACTTACAAACTTGTACTGTTGGATTTTAACCAGTAATCTGGTTTAAAAATTGTGCAAATAAACAAAACATATGAAAATAGTGTGTTATCAGTCTTTTTTTAAATAAATCTAGTATCCGCAGCACTTTGCCCTGAACGCAGGAGAGGCACGCCAACCCAGCTGCTGACGCCAGCCCCTCTCCGTCTCGGCCCCCTGCTCCTTCATTTTCTTCCAAAGATAGACACCAAAGGCAATTCTTTTTATAAATTAGATAAATTAAAGTCTTCACTGCTCTAAGCTTCCTGCAGCCCTCTCACATCACATCCTGGAGTGAGAGGCACGCTGGTGGAGCCACACCTCCACCGGCCCCCAGGCTCTCCACAGCCCACGTGACCTCTTCTGAAGCTGGACACGCCGCACCTGGGAGGAACCGCTCCCCACGCGCCGCCCCCCGGCTGCCGCCATGCAGACACACCGAGTTCCTTCACACACTCTGTGGCAGCAGCACATTCTTCACGGCAGTAGCTGCCGGCACCTTCTGAACTCAATTCATGCACTTAAAAAAGAATGAACGCATTCTTCCATGAAACACTCTGTGTAGACACTTGAAGCTTAAAACGCTGGCTAGTAAACGAAGGTAACGTAAGCAGTGCTACTGCATGTGGCTAATAAGGGAAGGGAGTCCGGGCCAGGTGCCACGGGGGACTTACACCCCTCCTTCCCCAGCAGCCAGGCCACTGGAAATGCGAAGCTGAATAGAGGGACAGGCCTCCGGCCGGCGGACTGTGAGTGGCCGCTTGGCCTCAGTCTCTATTGGTGTTGTTGGCTGCAAAGGCATGCAAGTTCCCCATCTGGCTCAGGCCACTCTGAATGTGTGCCACATGGATCTCTACATTATTCTGGAAGCAACTAAGGAAAAAGAAACAGCTACTTTATTCACAAAGTTAAGAGAAACTTTTTCTTTTTTTTTTGGTCGGTCATGGGGCTTGAACTCTGGGTCTGGGCGCTGTCCCTCAGCTCTTCAGCTCAAGGCGAGCGCTCTACTGCTTGAGCCACAGTGTCACTTCTGGTTTTCTAATGATTTATTGGAGATAAGAGTCTCTCAGACTTTCCTGCCCAGGCTGGCTCTGAACCGAGATCCTCAGATCTCAGTCTCCTGAGTAGCTAGGATTACAGGGGTGAGCCATGGGCACCCGGCTTTTTTTTTTTTTTTTAAAGGAAGCACTGAATTTAGAGTTTGAAAATAGCTGGGATAATGACTGCAGGAAGGGCCAGAATTCTACTTCCATGGTACTAGAAAACTTTGCTTTGAAAGAACCAGAGGAGCCCCAGGTAGAGAGAGGAGCAAGTTGTGCTCCACCTCCAAGATGCACCAAAGCAAAGTATTACAAGTGCCCAGGTCCTTTACACAGAAAACCCGTGCAACACGCGTTCTGTCAAGAGGAAGGCCATATGGAAACATCTCTTACAACATATCTAAATCCCAAAAAGATAAGACGACATCACAAGTATGTAAAATTCTAAAAACATATTTTAAAAGCTACAATTCATTAATAAAGTGATTAGTATACACCTAATTACCTGATATTAGAAGCATCTATTGTACTCTTGATATCATTTAATGAATCTGTAAGTGATTTGAATTCAAAGGAATTCAGGTCTCCTCCCTCTGCTAGACACTAAAAGAAAAAAAATTGAATTATAGTTCAAATACACACATAAAATACCTGAATTAACAATGAAAATGAAAACACATCATAATGGGGCCTCTGGGATTCTGCAAAAGCAGTGCTAAGGGGAAAATTTTTTTTTTTTTGGTTGGTCGTGGGGCTTGAACTCTGAAGAGCTGAGGGACAGTGCCCAGGCCCAGAGTTCAGGCCCCACAACCAGACCCAAAAATAAATAAATAAAATAACTAAAAAAAAAAGAAAATAGAAACAGCTAAACAACCTCATGATGCAATTAAAACTGCTAGAAAGGGGCTGGGAAGGTGGCTTAGTGGTAGAGCACTTGCCTTGCATGCATGAGGCCCTGGGTTCGATTCCTCAGCACCACATAAGCAGAAAAAGC